CAAGGCCACATCCACTCAAGGGAGTCTCCACGGTTCAGTTCAGTTAGTGCTGGCAGCAAGATATTTTAGTGGCGAACTTTGGCTTCAGTGATTCTTCGTTGGTTGGTACTTTCAGCTGTATAGGGGAGGCAGCCCTATGTGTTAACATGTGTATGGAGCTCAGAGATCCCTTTCAGGGTCTCTCCTTCAAACGCCGTAGCACAGTCCATATGCAGACTGAGCATCTGTGCAGACTATTGCTATGTGACATTAGTCCAGATTTTAACAAGCCATTGTGCCTCTCCATCATGACTGCTGTGGTAAGATTGTATGGCACATGAAACTTTCATTTGATTCCCAGCTGTTGCACCCATTCTTGCAGTGTATGTTCAGTAAAATGGGTGTCCTGGTCACTCTCAATTACCTGTGGTCAGCCATAGGCAGCAAAGAGATGCTCCAGGCCTCTTTTGGTCATCTGCTGGTCTGCACAACGGGTAGGAAAAGCAACCAGAAGTCCAGTAGCTGTGTCCACACAAGTCATAACATACCAATATCCTTCTGACACAGGTAGAGGCCCAATATAGTCTATCTGCCACCTGACGAGGGGTATAGGCCCCTGAGCTATTGTCCCATGTTGCTGTGGAACTCGGTGTAAGTCCCTTTTGGAGCACACGACACACTCCTGCCGGGCTCTACTAACTTCTTCAAAGGTCAAAGGCAAGCCCCACCGACAGGCTACAGCCCACATTGTCTTTTGTCCCACATGCAACGAATGCTGATGTAACCATTGGGCTACATCAGAGGCAGGCTTTCCTTCTAATCAACGTATCGGGGCCAATTTATCTGCTTCATCATTTCCTGAGGATGCTGGTGGCAAATGACCTGTCACATGGTATACCGTAATTATTTTAGTCTGACCACAGGCCCATAAGTCTTGCCACAGTTCTTGCCCCCAATGCGTTCGGTGACCAACCAGCCAGTTGGCATGGTACCAGGTTGGTTGAGACAGGTCAAGCTGCCATAGACAGCCCAACTGTCAGTGCAGACAACTATAGGGGAGGGCTCCTGGCTGATCACAAGACACAGCCTGCAACTCTGCCCATTGGCTACTGTTCCCCTCACCATCATCCATCCATATTGTCTCAGTCCTAGGATGGAAAGCTATGGCCCTCCATTTTGGGGGCTGCCCATGGCTGGAGCCACCTGTGTACCATGCATCTTCGGGTATAGGGGCTCTTTCTTCCCAATAGGGACTCTCTGCTACTAATGGTTCAAAAGCAGGTTTTTCCTGCTTTTCACTAGTATATGTCACTGGCCCCAATATGCGTTGGAGTTCTTCACTCAAGGGGCTACTAGAGAGGGCACTATGCTGCTGTTGGTAAGCACCAAACTTGGCTTGTGTGGGTGTTTGTGTCACAACACTCCTTGGCTTTTGGTTCCAGTCTTTTACCCCCCAAGTTGGGATAGGTGCTTATTTCCTTTATTGGGGCCATTCCAGCAATGGATTCTGTAGCCAGCAAGGTGTGATACATAGCAGCCAGTTGGTTTTCTATCAAAGTGTATTGTACCTCTGCCCCTGTGAGCATGACATCACCAATATTATGGTAAAGCCACACCGTTGGCAATTCCTCCCATGTAGCCAGGTCCTGGGCTACAAGTCTGTGATAGATGGTGGGGCTGTGGAGGTATCCCTATGGGAGGATGGTGAAAGTCCATTGCTATCCTTTCCACGAGAAGGCAAACTGTTCCTGATTTTACTGCTCAATGTCAGTGGAAATGAAGGCATTAGCAAAATCTCCCACATAATGGTGTGTTCCTAATTCATGGCTGAGGGTATACATTAGGTCTTCAGTAGAGGGGAAAGCAGCATGCATAGGGGGTATGACTTTCTTCCATTCTGTGTAATCCACAGTCGTATGGCAGGAGCTGTCTGGATTTTTTACTGGCCACAATAGGGACTTGAAAGGACTATGGGTGGGCTTTATAATACTGCCTTTTTCAGCTTCTGGAGAGTTTCTCCGATCTCTTTATGCCCTCTGGGTAGTTTGTACTGTTTAGTATTAGTTGCCCACCAAGGCACAGGGAAAGCTATGTGCGGGTGCCTAGCATGTTCCCTCAGAACTGTGTTCACCACACGTACTCTCAGTCTGAACTCACCTGCAGTGGTCTGCAACCATAGACCCTGCAGAATATCAATCCCCAAAATATACTCAGGGATGGGTGATATATATGCCGTATACTTTTTTACACTAGACGCCCTATTCCCAGAGGGATTTCGGCTTGCTTTACTCTGATAGCCTTACCCCAATAACCATCTATGACAGTGGGTATCCCTGGGAAACACTTAGGGTTACCATGAATCTGTGAACATTCAGCCCCCATACCTACCAGAGCCAGGACATGTATGTTCACTGTGGATCAATGGATAGCTATTTCAACATGTGGCCTCCTATCTACTCCTGGTCCCTCAGGGCAGATACCTTGACCTTCACCTCAGTCAAACCATGTTCCCCAATCATCTTCCTGTGTGGGCTCAAGTGAGGTTGGCTCCCTCTCCAGCAGCAAGTCTTGCAAACACACAGGCCAGACTTGTGGCTCTCTCTCTGACCTCTGTCTCTTTGGTCGTAATGGCTGGAATTGCTGCTCTGGTTTCAGTTGTTGCCATAGCTCTAGTAAGATATTATTTGACTTCCCTTCTAATTTCCTTCCATCTGCTCCTGCCCTTATTAAATTAACCCCCATCTGGGTCCTCATAACCTTCATGGGGCCCTGTAAATTCTTCTTGTGAATAGCCGACCTTATTCCTTTCCATGCTTTCATTGCTTCAGCCTCTCCTAAGTCTGATACTGTATGTGTCACCTCACTTATGGGATGCCCTAAGTGAGGGGAAAGAATGACCACTAGAGACCCAAAGAGGAATGTGGGAACCATTTGAAGCACAATATTTTTCATCCCAGTAGTGAAAATCTCTTTATTGGGCCATAGTTCCCTGGACTTTAGATGGCATTTCTTATGTCTAGCTCTTGTAACACCTGTTGGAGTTCAGCATATGCCTGCCATCTAACAGGAGAGGGTGGTAGATCACCCTGATTGGGCCACACAACACAAAGTGAAGCCATAAGCCAATCCAGGAGGGATGAACTCCCTTGGGTCTGATGTGGATCTTGTAATCGCTGCCTCAAGGCGGGCTGCACTGTCAGGGAAGCCAGCTTTCCCATCTCTGATCCCAACAGAACAATTCCATCCACCCCTAAGTCCCACAGACACAGGAGCCAAGCTGATATTGATTCCAGGGGCTTCTACCTAAACCAGGAGCCCAAATCCTCCAGCTCAGCCTGAGTATAGGGGTGGAGCATAGAGTGCTCCACGACCTGGGGAGGGGACTGCTCCTCTTTTTGGGGAACTTTCAGCTGCTGGGTCTTTATTTTCTTTACAACCACTGGGCATGCTTACAATACAGGAGTGGTCAGTGCCTCTGGCACCACCCCTTCATCCTTCCCAGCTCCTTCATTTCTGGGGCTAATGGCACCTTTCATTCCATTCCCCTGAGTGCCTCCTCTGCAGCAACTTTTACCTTTTCTTCTGTGCCTCACAGCAATGCTAGCTCAGTCTTAAGAAGCTCTCTTACCTTCACTTCAGTGCTTCCCAGCTGATGTTCTCATGCCACCTCTGCCTGTGCTTCTCTCAGGAGTTCGTCTTTTTCCTTGATGGCCCCTTCCTCCTTCATAGCACCTGGCACCACTGCCATCTCGTTCTGTAAGGAATTTTTTACCTCTTCAATGGCACCTTGCTGCTGGCATTCTCATACTGCCTTCTCTCACATCAATGCCATTTCCTTCTTCAGTGAATCCACAGTAGTTTGCAGCTCACGTTCTCATGGTGCCATTTCTTGGGTCTCTTCTGTAGACCTATTTAGTACCGTGAGAAGCAGCCAACCCACATTCCCCGCTGCCTCACTGGGACTGTTTCCCAAAGGATCTACTTACTATACCAAGGGCCACCCCTACTGCCTCAGGTGTCACCTCCACTTGCTTCCAGTCCTGGGGTGGGGCCCAGTCCTCTAGGAGGCAAGCCACCTCAGACCACATACCCACTGGGGGACAATCTACTGTTTCTCCATTCACAGGGGCAGCCTGCTGAAGCATGCCTCCCATAAGAGCAGCCTGTCTTTTTCCTTGGTCAACAATGAACCCTGCTGTCTTTTGCCAATTGTCTTGCCAATGTATTTCAGCCCCTGGCAAGTTTTCTGTGGATTTAATGTGACCAAAGAACTTGACAGCAAAACGTTCTTTGGGGTGAAAGGGTTTATTACGCGGCTTGTTTTCCTGGCATTAGGTCAAGCACTAGCATCTCTGCCTCCGTGGAGAGCACTGGGCTGAGTTCTCTACATAGTGCAATAATAGCTTATTGCCTAAAGGTGTGGAAGTGGTAGCCTAGCAAGAGGCCAGTTACATCATCAGGTGGTTTAACTTCAGTGAGGATCCTGGACATAGGAACCCCAACTTCCCCACATCCTGCAAGCAACACAACTGGGGACGTGGAGGAACTTTCTTAGATCGCACTTGCAATTCCCTTGTAACTACCATCCTTAAGGACTGTCTTTTGAAACACATGAGGTGCTTTTAATCCTTCTCGTAAAGGTCTGTACTGCAATCGAATGTTGTTAAAACCCAGTAAGCTTATGTGGCCAATCCCTAGGGACTTGTGTGTGCAGATCCTGGTGATTTTTGAAGAATGAAGAAGAGAACATTATAAATATTTCTGATGGTCAGGGCATTCATTTGCTTTATCTTTATTAGATTGCCCAGAAGGCAATAATTGGTCTTTGGCAACAATAATATGAAGACTGGTTATAAAATTCCTCTGGCAATAGTTAAGATGCTTCATTTGAATAGAGCAGAACAATCTTTAGAGGTCTGTCTGGCTTCAAAGGCTTGTACATATTTTAACAGCACAGCCTGGGAAGAGGATGGACTTGGATAGTATTTGAAGTCTTATTTTTTTCCCCTTTTTTCTGCCAGGATGACAAGGATTTGGTGCATGAATTTGTGGTGGCTGAAGGTCTGACATGTTTGATCAAGGTGGGAGCTGAGGCAGATCAGAACTATCAGAACTACATTCTGAGGGGTAAGTTATGACATAGGGCAGCTACCCTACTGCAAGGGAGGTCGGGGTCACCTCTAAGAACTTCAAATCTGAGAGCTTTTTAAAAGACTTGGATTATAGAGTAAGGTGATAAAAGACACCTGTAGCCAAAGATGACACCATCAGGTTTTATCATTTCCTAGCAACTAATTAGTGACTGGGATAATTTTACTGACTTGTTTTTCTTGGTCTCTTCCCAGTTGTTGGGGAAAAAAAACACACTGCACGCTAGGTTCTCAATAATTTCTTTTAATTGATCATGAAAGAGACACACTAATCAAATAAAATTTGGGTAAAACTTGTATCTCAGCAGAAAGCATCCCCAAACCAAAGAGGCCACTGTAGTTCCTAGGAAAAATATTTTCTCAAACTTGAGTTATCACTGGGAGCACTTGTCATGGTGCACATTCCTCATAAGTGCTCCTGTTTCTGACTTGGTAGGTCTGGGCCCAGGATTTGCACCATAAAGAATGATTCTGAAGGCTACCCTCTATAATTCCATTTTTCATAAATCACTCCATGTGTAGAGCTTAGAGCACTGATTATTGCTCCAGTTCATAAAGTTAATACTCATTTCATAGAGTATTTTTGAGTACCTTCATATAAATAATTTTATTGGATCCCATAAAAGGGCTGAATAAGCAGGGCAGGAATTATTAGGTTGGACCATATGAAATTACTGCTATTAACAGTTTTGACCAACAAAAAAAATAATTTAATATAATTCTATATTATCCCCATTTTGCAGTTGAAAATTTTGAGACTCAGAGAAGTGGAGCATTTGCCTGATAAAGTCACCTTCCCTAGTGAGAGGTCCTGCAGGGGCTGAGCACAGGCACTGGGGCTGATCAGGGTTCTGTTCCTCTTTCTTCTTGTGTCCCTATAACCCCAGAACTCTTGTGTTTCGTGTTTATATAAGGAAAAAAATTACCTCCTTTTCTTTTCCCTTGAATGAGGAAATAATACATGAAATGTGTGATTTAATATCAAATGTCCATGGTCAGAGTCGAACAAGTTCTGTGTTTTGCCTTGAAAAGCTGCCTTATGTTCTATGTTGTTACCCAGCACATGGAACTCTGAGTCCTTCCCTCTTTTCTCCTCCAGGAGAGTCACCACAACACAAGGCAAAAGAGAAAATTTTGGACTCATTACAAAAATAAAAAAAAACTTTTTAAGAACATATTTTCAGTGCTAATTGTTTCCACGCTTTTTGATAAATGCCAAATGTGTGTGCAAGAGTTCCTCAGCCTGCTGGTGAGGCTGGGAGTCACCACCTTTTGCCCACCTTCCATCTTTTCCTGAGCCTGTGGTAGATCCTCAATACAAGTTCTCAGGAAAGATGCTTTATGGATGAATTTTATGGTTTCGGCCCTCAATATATTAAACATTTTTATGGAAACCTGTGGTATGTGCAGACAAATTCACCATAAACTTTATCCCACTGTGTTGCCTCCAAATGGAATGTCTTTCTGTGCCTGAAGAGATGGGTGCAAGCCTTACTTCTCATCCTCGTATTCCAACTCACACTGGTTGAATACCTAGAATGGGAAGGCACAGAAATGAGGGTGAGGACACTTCCTCTGGCTTATTTTTCCAGGTCACTTATAATATGGATATTCATAAGTTTCGCAACGTAAATTTCGCTAATTCTTAACAGTGAGTCCAAACTGACAGTATTTTTTTCTTTTTAAAGTGTACATCCCTTTAACTTCACCAAAATAGCCTTCTCCAGCGGGTACTCTCTTACACACACACCTCTATAGAGCTAATATAACCATCTACGTGTTTATCTTTAGTCTTCTGACCCTTACCTAGGAGTGTATATATGCATTTTTTTATATTGTAATTACAAGTGTTAGTATCTATAGTTATTTACATCCAAAGGTGGGCAGAGGGGGATGGCTCTGCCAGCTGGGGTCAGCCCCTCTTATCAGGAAGGCAACATTTTTGTCAGAAGCCCCTTGCAGACCTCTCCCATCGGCTAGAGCTGAATCACATGAACACCCGTAGCTGCCAAGGGACACTGGGTTCCTGGGCTCTAAGAGAAGGCAGCAAGACAGAAGGGTGTAACTAAGTGCCTGACACCTAGTGGCAGCTAGAAAGAAAACACTCAGCCTAGCTGAGAAAGCCCTTTCTTGAGCAGCCATATGGTAGCCTGCTTGGAGGTAGTGAGGGCCTCTCCCCTGCTGTGGGAATCACTGTAAAGGGGCAGAGTAAGGTGAATTGTGTGAATTGTATTTCCTGGCAGTGAAAGATATATTGACACTGATTACTGCAGCTAGGCTCTCTACCTTAGTGAATACTTTTTGTTAAGCTTGCAGTGGCTTATTAATTTGCAGTGTTCTGATCTGCACCAGAAAGGTGCCAAAGTTAATTACCAGATTTGAAGAATCAGAATGCCCAAGCATGACCGGGGGGGAGCCCTGTCAACCACCTACTGCTTCTCTGTCCATGCAGGAAATGCTACCAAGGTAAGACCCGTGCTGCAGACAGCTCTTCCTAACATTGATGAGGCTCCGTATTTCCATTGCTACCACCCGGGCCTTGCTTTCAGATTGTCATTTTCCAATAGCATCTGTTTATTGGAGGCTTACCATGCATTACCTGGAAAATGAGCAAGTGCTCATTACCATTCAGGTTACTACAAGATGTCCTGCTTGCCACGGAATGGAGGTGTCTTTGCATGCCTGCCCCACTTCAGCTAAGTCTCATAAGATGGGGTAACCAGGGCACTGTGTGCAACTATCGCACATTTCGATGTGTCTAACTGGATGGAGCCTATGCCAGGAAAGTGCCTTCTGAGGGATGTAAATGTTAGATTTCTTGGGGTGTGACTTTTGTGTTTTTATGCAAGGAAAACTATCATTTTTCCTAGCCCACATGTTGAGCTGTCCATTTCTGACTTTGAAGAACTTCTCTTGTAGGATTTTTTAGGTTCTGATCAGCTGCCGGCAGCCACCAGACATTTGCAATCAAGGACAACCTTTGAATTGCCTCTTTGTTTGTCCAAGCTCATTTTAACCATATTGCCTTGAGTGAGGCATGGTGAGGCCAGATGTAGATCAAGAGAGAGAAACTGGAAAGAGTTTTACAGTTTCGTAGCTCAGAGTTCCTTGGGGAGGACACAGCATGCCCCAGCGCTGCCCTGCGGGACACAGGGTCGGTCATGAGGCAGAGGGAGAGCACAAGCACCTTTGTTGTGGTTTCCACACAAAGGATCTGGCAGGGTTTGGTAAATGGGCTTAGGATTGGTCAGTTCAAATAAGGTCAGTGGGCCCTGGAGCATAGGGGCTGTCCCTGGTGGAAGTAAGTTAGGGCCTGAGTATCCTGGCCTGGAGTGTGAGAGCCTGGCATGGCATGTGGTTGGGGGAGTGGACTTGAGCTGGGAAGGGAAACTGACTGACGTTAAGCCAGAGCCTCAGACCTGGGTCAAGATGGCATTTTAAAAGCCATCTTACAAACTGCAAGGTGTGTGGGTTATCCAGGTGCGTGGAGGAGAGTGCCCTGTGTGGAGCTGCCTCAGGAGCTCCATGCTGTGTGACGTGCATGTGTCCCTGGATCCAAAGGAAACAAGAGCACTTGGAGAACCCAGTCCTTTCCACATCTGCTTTTAGAACTGGTTTAATTTATCTTTATTTTGCACTCAGCCCTCTGTCAGCTCTTTTTTTCAAGACCCAGGAATCTGTTGCTTTTAGTAGAGGATATATCTGCTGAGAGGTAAAGATAGGTTTTAAATTATGATGTAGCCAAGTGCTCTCCAAAAATGTGAGCCAGCTGCTGGGAAGAGGTCTTAAATGCACAACATGTAGGAATAATATTTATCTGACTTATTATTCTTGGATGGTTCTTGCTAATGATCTAAAGTTTTTCATGATAGCCAGTATTTAATATAAATTTACTGTGGAATTTTGTACCTCACAATTATTCTTATTGAAATAGGACCTAGAATGGCATATTCCTGGGAACATTCCATACTTTGCTATGCCCAGGAGACACTCCATAGGAGGGTTCTGTGCTGTTCACAGCCCATTTTATATGTTGTGTTGCATATGTCTTATATGTTTAGAAATTGCATCTAGGTGATATGCTTTGGGGTAAAAAAGAGAAACAGGTAAGTGGAATCAGTAAGACCAGCTGCCTTTTCTGGTTGTCCTTTAAGGGAAGCCGCTTCCTAAGGACATCTGTATCCCGAGTATCACAGACAGCAGAGGAGGAGATTTATCATGTTAGGAAGTGGAGGTACAAAATGATCAAATGATAATTAAACCAACATTCCCCATCCCAGAGCAACTTGAAAGTTTGCATTTTGGCATTTCAGGGCAAAGGAAAATAGCAGAGGTAGGGCTCAGACTCAGACGGAGAGGGGAGAGGTGGGGCTCAAACTGGCCACAGGGAGAGGAGATGGGAGCCGAGGGGGAGCTCTTCCTGAAGCAAAGTCACGTGTTTTGCTACTGTGTTTTCCACCAAATGGCTTGGCCTGACTTTCCTCTGCCACCTTATACTGGTCCTGAGCCACAGTGACTGTCTGGGAGGAAATTTCCTCTCTCCTGTCTCTTACTAGGAATGCTTTCTTATTTTCGGTCAGGACTCCATCGATCAATCATGGCAGCCAGACTTTGGTGTGGATGACACAATTGCACAGGTGTCTTGGTGTCTGTTGCCAGCCCTGGGGCATTGAAGCCCATGTAAAAGATGGACTCAGTCCTTCTTCACTTGATGTCTCTCCTTGCTGAGTTGGTGTGACAGGAACTCTTCCCAGTAGGGAACCATGTTGACTGGCACAAATTGGCAGCCCGTGGAGCCAAATTGACCTGCAGGTATTTTATTTGACCAACATAGTAGGTTAAACCTTTTTTTGACTGAATTTTTGTAAAATTAAGGTATCATTGACATACAATCTTATGAAGGTTTCACATGAGCAACATTGTGGATACTACATTCACCCATATTATCAAGTCCCCCACCCCACACTACTGCAATCA